TATAAATATCACAGAATGACTTTTCTTGAAACTAGATGGGTTTTCATTTATTTGTTTTTATTATAACTTCTGATTTGCATATAATCGTACATCTTTGTGGGGTACAGTGTTTTGGGGTTTTTTTGAGAGAGGTTTTTACTATAGGACATGTGCACTCGCCAGAGAGACAGAGACAGAAAGCAAGAACTCACCTGCCAGGAGAATAGCCATGTCGCAATCCCTTTTCCTCCATTCTCCTCTCGGGATCTTGGGCATGCACGCACATGCACCCGGTGTGAGTTTAAGCCACCGGGTCCAGGACTCGAACCATGGTCAACTATATGGAAGTCCAGCAATGTAGTCATTATGCCATCTGCTGATCCCAAGGGGTACAGTGGAGTTTTGTTTGTTTGTTTGTTTGTTGTTGTTGTTTTATTTTGGAGAGGTTTTTGCTATAGGGCGCATGTGCTCGCCAGACAGACTGAGAGACAGAAAGCGAGAAATCACCCCCCAGGGGGGATGGCCACGCTGCAATCCCTTCTCCTCCATTCTCCTCTCGGGATCTTGGGCATGCATGCACACACGCCGGGCGTGAGTTTTAAGCCACCAGGTCCGGGACTCGAACCGCCGTCGACTACATGGGAGTCCAGCGACATAGCCATTACACTATCTGCTGGTCCCGGGTACAGTGGGTTTTTTAAAGCATGTATGCAGTATGTAATAATCAAATTAAGAGTATAAACCTACTCTTAATCTGCAACAGTTGGCATTACATTATAGTGTATACATACAAGTTTTGTTCTACTATTGTTTTTTTGGAAGTGTATATTGAATATCTGTATATAGTTACTTCCCACTTAATGACCACTTGGACTTGTGGACCAGTTCTCCAGCATGGGGAATCCCCTTTATCAGTCTATGAGTCTCAGGAATCCCCTTTCTCAATCTTTGTCTATTTCCCCGGTCAGTCAGTACTCACTACACAAAGCATTCACAATCACACAAGGCTACATATTTCATTCATAGTTACCAAATTGAAGTTCCCTTTAGGCCTTTTCATTATTCAGAATGAATAAAAATGATTATGCCAGATTTATATCATTATGTTGTGGTGTGTCTTGTCACTTTCTGGTACTTAGCTAATGTATGCTTTTTTGTATGGATAGAATTACATTATTCTAGTGTGATGTCACATAATATCTTGAAAAATACATACCCTGTAGTGCCTCAGGATACCGTAAGACATCTGCCTTTAACCTCCTTGCTTATCAACCACTTTGCTTAATGACCTAATAGTAAGTACTGAACTCAGTTAAGTGAAGAGTGTTTATATTATCCTTTATTTTGAGTAATTTATATCTATGTCTCTATGTTTGATAAATTTGACCTGAGAAATCTGTTTTTAGCTTCTTGTGAGTAATTTTACATCACTCATTCATCCCTTTGAACAGAAAATGCTTTTGCTTTTTTCTTCCCATATTTTTAGCAATTAAGCAGCAAAAGAAAACTATGCCTAACACTTTTAACCTTTTGCTATTTGTTTTTTAAATGTCCAGATAGTTTCTTACCCAAGTGATAATGAGAAGTACCCAGATCAAAGTCCATCTTGAAGGCTAGACAGTGCCACAGAATTAAGACATGATGTTCTACGAGCCTGACCCACATGGGAAGGCTCCAGGTTCACATCTGGAGACCTCTCTGAGTATGGAAGATGTGCATGTGCCCATGATCTGGGGCTGACTGAGTCTGGGAGTAGATTGTGGCATCAAGACACTGTTAAGAGTATTCTCTTCTCTTCTCTTCTCTTCTCTCTCTCTCTCTCTCTCTCTTTCTCTCTCTCTCTCTCACTTATGAAAGAAATCAATGACTTTGTTATAAAGTACATCTTGGGCTTTCATCAGCCTTATTTTTGTGAGGATTGTCAAACATGTAGATGATTTAAGAAGACATATTTTAGTGTAATGTAACAAACTTTTATAGTTAATTTCATAATAAACATGCTTTTTATTTTTATTTTTATTTATTTACTTATTTTACCGTTTTTTCATCTATCAAACATTTTCTCCCCTTGCACCTCACACCCACTCTCCACTACCCAAGCTTTTTCAATAGAACTATCCAAAACTGAGGTGGGCTCTCTTAGGAGGTTGTGAGCTTCTTGTCCATGAAAGAATTCAGTAACTGACTAGATTACCACTTAATTGGAAGGTGGAAGTGGATATGTGGATAGATGTAGAAAATCAGGTACTCCAGTGGCAAGCGGGTGGTTTAGTAGTTAAGGTGCTGGACCCTCACATGGTCAACCACAGTTCAAATCCTGAACCCAGCGACTTGAAACTCACACCAGGCACATGTGCATGCATGCCCAAAATCCCAAGAGAAGAATGGAGGAGAAGGGATTTCAACATGGCCATCCCCCCATGAAATGATTTCTTTCTGTCTGTCTCTCTCTCTCTCTCTTTCTCTGTCTCTCTGGTGAGCATATGCATACTATAGCAAAAATCTCTCAAAAAATAAAAAAAAGAAAATTAGGTACTCTAAAGGAAATTAGGTACTCTAAAAGAAGTTCAAGCAATAATAAATGTGAGACTGGATCAGATGATTTTAGCATCATCATCCCTGGAACTCTGTCCTGTGACATTAGTTTAAGGGGAATCTGCTCTTTTAAAGCTTCGATGGTTGCCAGTATTCGCTTAGGTGTTGAATTTCTCAAATCTGTGAAGACATGTCAGGTTTTGTGTTCTTTTTGTCTTTGTTTCCAAGGTTATCATCTATGTCTAATTATTAAAAACATAGCATGTTGGTAATTAAGCAGTCTGTCTTTCAGATGCAGCTTCCAAAAAAGTTAAGACTTGGCTTTAATCATGAGAATTCTCACTATTTTTTTTTGGGGGGGGGGGAGAGGTTTTTGCTATAGGGCACGTGCGCTCACCAGAAATGCGTGAGCTTAAGCCACCAGGTCCAGGACTCAAACCTTGGTCGAGTACATGGGAGTCCAGCGACATAGCCATTACACCAACTAGAATTCTCACTATTTCCTTAAAAACAAATCATCCCTTGCTTTCCCCTCTTAACTTAAACATATATATAAGTACACCCATGTATGTTAAATCTTTGGAAGGAAAGCTGTAACATAATGATAACAAATGGTAAGTAAGGCTAATTGTGAAGTACAGGAGTACAGCTATCATGGACCAGGCTCTTCCTGCCAGTCTGGGTTGCATAATAATGCTTAATAAATAAATATGTTAAATCTGTGAATGGATAACAAAATATTATAATCATATTTTCAGATTGTTTATAACCATGTAATCATATGTAATTTTCTTTTTTTTGTAATTGAGATTTATTGGTTGTGTCAAGGATCAGTACAGACATTTCAATTTGTATCCAATTCTTAAATATGCACCAAAAATTTAAAAAGCCAAGTATAATGATTCTTTTTAAGTTATTCCAGTGACATTCCAGCTTCAGATTTGTAGGCAAATTTTCCTTAAGAGGATATCAAGAACCATTGTCTTCAAATGTTGAAAGCTGTTATGTAAGTCCCACCAAATCACAATTTAGTATCATGCACACTACGTACTTCAAATTTCCAATCTTTCATAGCTACTAAAAAACATAATAGAAGTAATTTAAAATATTCAAGACACATTAAATGCATGACTGTGACTCCAAACTGCCATTTAGTATGCTTTGTATTTAGGATATAAAAACTACCCACCCACCCCCACCTATGGAATGTTAAGCTGACATGTAAGAGAGTCAAAGCCTCCTATAAGTCAGTATCCCACTATTTTCTGGTTGTATTGAAAAATAAACAACCAGTAAATGATTTCACCTCTTTAAAAAAGCATTTACACTTTAAAAATGAGATGAGGTTGGATTCTCTCCTTCTTAAAAATGTTTCTAGAGCTACTAAAAAACTTGCATTTGCAAAATAGTTGATAAAAATATTCCTCTGGATTGTATAAGAAGGGAGACAGGGACCATTGATAAGACATGGTATATGATATTACTCAGACTTGACTTCTTTCTCGCCTGCTTCATCAGAGGGTGGACTCTCCTCATTTTTAGTTTCTCCATTTTCTGCAGGTAAATCTTTAGTGTCTCAGTTGGCCACTTCAGCCTGTTTCCCCTTTGCTCCCCTTTTCCCTTTTGTATGTGCTCTTTTGTCTGAAGACTTATCCTTCCCTACCGCCTTTTTTGGCTTCATCTCCACTTTTGCAGGAGGTTTAGCCGACAACCTCACCGATCTCCTCTTGGGCTCTTCCTTGGCCGCCCCCTCAACTGAGCTGACCTTCCTCTTGGGCATCTTGGCTGCAGACAGGGTGCGTGCTGGGTGCCTGATGAGGCTGTGGCATGCCTAGAACCTTTGCAGAGTTGAGCGGATAAATCCTACCGCTCCTCCCATCGCCAGAGCGCTCATGTAATTTTCAATGAGTTTAACCAATCATTTGTGGCTAGTTGGCTACTGTGTTGGACAGCTTAGCTCTGTAAGAACAATTTTAAGAAGTTGGTTACTTGAATATTGGGATTCCTGTGATCTTTTAGAACCAGTACTTGTTCTGACAATGTTACTGACTTAGTTTTATCCATCATGTGTTTGTACCATTTTCTGAGCAGCTGCTTGGTTGGTGGCAATACAAAAACAAACGTCACAGTTTCTGTCCTTAAGGCCAGGGATTTGACAGCCTTTATAGACACACCATTTTGGAAGCATCCATTAGGTGAGGTGGGAGACACAAAGAAGAGACCCTCTGACTGTTTATGAGAGTCACGGAAGGCTTCTCAGAAAAACTTAATGCTCAAATCATTTTTTTGTTTCCTCTATTTTTGCTGTTTTATGTAAGAGCAGGTTTCCTATGTTACTTATGAAGCATCTGTCATAGTCAGTTTAGGACCAACTTTTTCCCTAGTTTCCCTTTGCTTTCTAAAAATCTCTCCCTCTAGGCCCAGAGGGGCAGGGTTCACCCTCTCTACCCAACCCTGTTACCTTAACATATCTTTTCTTCCTGCAGTGCTCAGTGAAAAGCTGTATAACTGCCTTCCATGTCACCTGTGCCTTTGAGCACAATCTCGAGATGAAGACCATTCTAGATGATGAGGATGAAGTGAAGTTCAAATCATACTGTCTTAAACATAGCCAAAACAGACAGAAGATTGGGGAAGCTGAGTACCCCCACCACTGGGCTGCAGAGCAAAGCCAAGCTAAAAGTGAGAAAACTAGCCTGCGGGCCCAGAAGCTTCGGGAGCTAGAAGAGGACTTCTACACCCTGGTCCGAGTAGAAGATGTGGCCAAAGAACTGGAGCTGCCCATGCTAGTTGTGGATTTTATCTATAACTACTGGAAACTAAAGCGTAAAAGTAACTTCAATAAGCCATTATTCCCTCCAAAGGAGGACGAAGGAAATGGCCTGGTACAGCCAAAAGAGGAAAGTGTTCACACTCGTATGAGAATGTTTATGCACCTTCGGCAAGACTTGGAAAGGGTAAGATGACCAGCTGTGACCAGTGAATATGTCTTGTCTGCATAGAAATCAAGGTCCAACTTCCAGTTTAAAAATGGGTTTTGGTGTCCTTTCTTACATTCTGGTTTCATTGTGGCCCTAGTCAGTGGGCTCTGTTTAAATCTGTACAGGCACGTTCACAGGACTGGAGAGCCTTATTTATATATTCTATGAACTTTAAATTTGAAATACATTCTTACTTGTTTTACTTATTTCCTGTTGAGCCTAAATTGGCCTAGTAATATTTTCCTGACACACTTATGAGATCGTAGGCTGAAGAGAGTGGGTTTGGTTCAGAAAAGCACTAAATCAGGATTCTCAAACTCAACACTATTCACATTTTGGGCTGGATTGTTGTTTATTGTCAGGGACATTATAAGATGTTTAGCAGCATTCCTGACCCTATGTTTATCTAAAGGAATTATATAATTAAGTATAATTATATAAATAGCTTGTTTTTTTTCCCCTCTGCTACCAAAATTTGAAAGGTAACTAATATATTCTGTCTTTTTAAAATTATTTATCATTATTCCCAATGCTGTTCTTTTTTGTTTTGTTTTGTTTTTAGAGAGATTTTTGCTATAGGGCACGTGCACTTGCCAGAGGGACAGAGACACAGAGAGACAGAAAGTGAGAAATCATCCCCTGGGGGGATGGACACACCACAGTCCCTTCTCCTCCCTTCTCCTCTCGAGATTTTGGGTATGCACCACACACACCTGGCATGAGTTTTAAGCCACCGGGTTCCAGACTCAAACCGCAATCAACCATGTGGGAGTCCAGCAGCGTAACCAGTATACCATCTGCTGGTTCTGTCAATACTATTCCAAGTATTTTACAGATACTAACTCATTTAATCCTAACATGCCTATGGAAAATTTTTTTTATTATCATAGCTATTTGCAGATGAATAAATAATGCGCAAAAATATTAAGTAATTTTTTTAGCTGGGGAGTATAGAAGAGTGAGGATTTCACCTTTATGGTTATGGTTGAGCTGAAAATGTGAGCAAAAGAGCCACTTCCAGTCTTTCCAACAGACCTTTATCCTGCTGGTCTAGCAGTCATTAGAAAATTGTTGGATCCTGCATTGCCATCATTTGTACTGAGGGATTTAAAGGTAAGGCTAAGTTGTTTGACATCATTCCATCTTCCTAGGCCAGCTGTGCCTAGCTATGTCAAATTCATGATACCTCAAAGAATGTAGGTTTCAGAAGGGCAGCTTTGGAGCATTTTGCTTGTGCTGCTGATTGATATGGGAACCACAATCCCACAATTAACCATGCTGTGTGAACTTCTATGGAGTGGATCTCATTTTGCAGCTCTTGGGTTCTGTCTTCTCTCCTTTCTTCCACCCCCACCTAACTTTAATTGTCTTCATTTTAGCTAAACAATTTCAACTGTCAGGTTTGCTTACCATGACAAACATCTCTGTTTGCTGGGGATTGGGCTTTCAGGTCCGAAATCTGTGCTACATGATAAGCAGACGAGAGAAGATGAAATTGTCACAGAGCAGGCTACAGGAACAGATCTTCGGTTTGCAGGTTCAGCTTGTTAACCAAGAAATGGCTGCAGGTAATGTGTATATTTTAAAATGTACTAACAAATATATAGACTCTGGTCACATCCTACTTTAACCATTTAAATTATACATCAGTTGTTCCGCTTTAAAATCTTTTAAAATTCTTGTCAAATATCTCATTTGCTTTGGTCTAATCCTGGTAGAAGATGGCCTGTTTCACTTTCAACTCATGAAACAAGAAATCTTATGGTGAGGTTAGGAGAATTGCAGATCTAGAGCAGATAGCCTAGACCCTAGACAGATATTTGAGGCCATTAGTTGGAGCCATGAAATTTTTCGTTTAGGAATTGATAGGATAGGGTCTAATCCCAATTCCCAGAAAATATTTAATTCTAGGGTTACTCATCTTAAGAGTAGTATAGTAAAAACAAATCCTTTACCAGAGGTGAGAACAGCTGGGTTCTTATCTTTTCATTTATTCACTAATATTTGTTGAGCACTCACTGTGGACTAAGAGCTGATCTAGAAGATAGAGCAGTCAGCTAGGCAGAATCCCTGTCTGCCGGGTATATTGCCCACTTGGTAAGAGAGGTAGGCAAGCATAATTACAGAGCCCTAAACATAAGGAGTTTGACTGGAATGATGACAGTCATTTTCTATGCAACCTACAACCTCCCTATGCCTCATTAATGCAGAGGTCAGTGGCAAAGCCTGAGCAACTAGGGGTCATTGTGCAAGGTGTACAGGGGACAGCCACAGAACGAGATAGACACTCAGAAATGAGGTATCCTATAGGCATCAGAGACTTTCGGGTATTCTTGAGTGTCACAGGTCACAGCAGAGTGGTATACCAGGAGACAGCAGGGCTGCTCAGCCACAAGGGAAATGTGATAGGCAAAACAAGGAAACCCAAAGGACAACAGAGACAAGCCCCTTTGTGCTGAGGAATTGGCCCCTAGCCATGTGGCTTGTGATTGGTAGGAGTTAGCCTCACTTTGGCTTACAGCATCAGCGTGGCAGGCCCTGGCAGAGATGGGGGTTGTGAATTTTCAACATGAACTCTTAGAGAACAAATACTTCCCAATGGAGCACCTCAGAGCTGTCCTTTCTATGTCTCATTTTTGTGAGTATGCAGTAAGATGATAATGGGCAAAGGCCAAGCCCATATCTGTCCACTGGCAAGAATGTTCTAATTCTTTTCTGCTAGCCTTACCACTACAAAATCTCCTTCACACATTCATAATAGCCATTTATAGTCAGTAAATTATTCCATGTTACGGACATAAAATTCACAGGAACCACCCACTACCATTTCTAATACCAGGTTAAAGTACATACATACTCTTTACCCACTAAAACCTGTGCCACATTTTTGAAGTTTTATATTTTACTTGTTTAAGAAGACCAGGAGAGATTGAAAGATAGGATCTTAAATGTCTAAAGGCACATCTTAAGTGCTGTATAGTACCCAGGCATATAGTAGAGGGACCCTGAGCTAAGCCATTGCTGGTGACAGTCTTTTCAGACATGGAAAGAAAGGCAGAGATGAGGATGCAAGAGGCAGCACACTAGTCTTCATGATCATTTTACAGACTGGGAAAACAGAGGTGAAGAGGTTGGGAGCCATATAGCAAACAGTGGCATTGCTGAGTTTTTATCTGTGGCATTCTTGGCCCAAACCTCTAGAGTTCAAGTGACTCCAACTGCTACACTATGATGTACATATATATCCAAAGCAGATGCTTTCTAGACATGTGAAATAGTGGGTGTGTGAACTCACACTGCCATAAGCATGTACACTAGTATTTAAATCAGTTGTTAAATAAATCTTTCTTTTTTATCTCAGGACTTCCTTTGACCAATACACTAGAAAACTCATTGTTTTACCCACCACCGAGAATTACCTTAAAGTTAAAAATGCCCAGATCAGCTGCAGAAGACTGCAGAAACAGCTCTACAGAAACTGACCAACAATCCCACTCTACTGACAGTGGCTCCCCTGTTCACAGTGTAAAGAGCATGCAGGTACCTCAGGAGTCACTAGAAATGAGAATGAAACCATATCCAAGGTACTCACTAGAAAGCAAGAATAATGGTTTGCTGGCCAGCCTCAACCATTCTAGGAGTGAAGAAAAGGATTCCAGTCCTGCTTGGAAAGCTCCATCTTCAGAGTTCTATCATGGGCAGTCATTGGGCAAACCTCTGGCCTTTCAGGCTGCCATCCATGGACAGTCTACTGTTGGGAATGGGAAAAGTCAACCAAACTCCAAGTTTACCAGATCCAATGGTCTGGAGGGCAGCTGGTCTGGGAATGTCACCCAAAAAGATAGCTCGAGTGAGATGTTCTATAACCAGGAGTCTATGCTTGGCTCCCACTTGGTCAGTCAGGGAAACTTGAGAAAATCTACCATGGAACACTTCAGCAGATCATTCAAGGAGGCCACCAACAGGTGGATGAGAACCACAGCAGACCTCCAGTGCTATGTGAAGCCAACCAAGAATATGAGCCCCAAGGAGCAGTGCTGGGGTAGGCAGCTTCTCAGGCGGTCTGCAGGGAAAGCTCCATATCAGGAAAACGATGGATATTGCCCAGATTTGGAGCCGAGTGATTCAGAAGCAGAAGGTGATGAGAGTAAAGGAAAAGTCAGGGTAAGGAGAGATAACTCGGACAGGGAAAATCCTTCCCATGACTCCAGACGAGATTGTTCACGTTAAAAACAAGACACATCTTTCTCAGAGTTCAATGCAAAGGTGATTAGAAACTCCCAAGAATAATACAGCCTTTGCCTTTATCCCATATACTGGAAAAAAAAATATACCAAAAGGATTTTAATATATATATATGGATAAATTGCTGTGAAAAAGATGAGATTTTGTTCAGTAAATTGGCTTACAAATTTTCAAATGGTTTCAGTCTACTTTTTCTAAGCACATTATGGGAATTGCAGATTGACTAGAGGTATGTTTGTCAGAAGCTATTGAGAACAGCTGGGCCCAGAGTATTTGCTCAGTAAATGCTTTGAGATAGCTTTCCAGTTACATTAATATATCGACGCGTCTGTGATTTAAGATGCTTGCATTTTCAGTGAATTTGCAAGAGACCAGGATTATCAGACACTAGATATGGGGATTATCAGACACTAAAACTACTTATCTTTTGAAGCTACAGCATGTGACTCCCAGAGCTCCTGCCTGTAGGAAGTTTCTAACTCCACTGGTATCTGTAAACCCTCTTCAGGGGTGAGACCAGTAGACCAACATTCCAGATACTGTAATATTCACTACCCTCTTCCTTTGCCCTGCATAAGGTTGAGTCCTTTCACAGTATCTTAACTTACTGAGTCAGTACTGCTAATGCTTTTAAATGTCCAGTGCCTGTTCCTAGACTTGTTTGTTGGGGACACACTCATAACTATTTTCACCCAGCTAACAAGCATAAAAGGCTAACTTGTGGATAGTGTTTACAAAAGTACAAAAGTACTACTTCCAAGGAAGATGCTCTGATTCTCTGTGTTTAGGTATTTGTGAAGGATCTCAGAGCCTTTCCCAAAGTGAGACCATTTCTGGGGTATTTGTACCAGGTCAGGGTTTTTGTGTTGTTGTCTTCAAATAAGTTTGACTAAAATAAGTTTGGCTGACAGTTTTTGTATACCTGCTTTAATGTTTATAAAATTTTTATTGAGGTATAATTAAAATATAGTAAAATGCACAGAGGTTAAGTATTCTTACCTGCTTTAATTTTGAAACAGATTTTTATTGTCAAACAGAATTTGAAAGCATGTGTTTAACACATGGATATAATTTAGCTTTGTATCAACTTTGAATAAAAGGCAATTTCCCAAACAAAAAAGCTAGGGCCATTTTCAGGAGTTACTTATACACTGTTCCCAAACTATCAGCCTTGATGAATTTCTGGGAGGAAGAGAATTGAAGGGGGGGGGGGGGAGGATAAAAAAGGTCTGCTTCCCATTTGAAGAAGGGGGAAATGTTGCTATTTTTAAAATATTAAGCAGACTATAATTCTCAACTCTCTTTTCTTCTTAGCCTTAAACTAATATTCTCTTTCTTCTAGTTTGGGAAAGTATAGTGGGAATTGTCAAACAAATGAGGCTATTTTAAATTTTTAAATTTTCTTATTGGTGAAACAGCCCTACTCTAGTAGGTGCCAGTCAGTCAAGGCAGGAGCCCTCTCTCTATTTCAATATGGAAAACTCAGCAGTTTTTCTCTCCACTGCATTCATTCTTAAACCTTAATGGGTTCCTTTGCTTTTTGCTTTTCTAAAAACTTCTGTATTTTGCCCTCCTCTTTGGCTACATCTTCAAAATACTTCTTTTGTGCCTCTGTACATGTGTGATCATGCCATAGTGTGTGTGGTAGGTGTCCTGTATTTTGTTTAAATAGAAAAAGCTACAGATAATCCAAAATGAGGAAGAGAATTTCTCCTATTTATGCACGAGGTTTCTGTGGTTTTTTTCTTTGAGTTCTCCTGGAATAGATATGAATTTTACACCTTCATTAAAACTAAATTATGATGGAGCTGTGTTGTAAACTCCTTATGTTAGAGGCCAGTGTTCTTTCATGTCTTTTCATTCTGAGTGAGTGGGAGGAAAAGCAAACATCTAAACAGTGCTTCAGCCAAACTCCATATATAATGCCACTGGGAGAGTATTGACTAAGATACCATTCCTGTCAGGGAAATATAGTTGTAATATTTTTGCAGGATTTTCCTAGTTAAATGAAGGAGTCTTCAGTTGTATAAATTTCGATTGTCCCAAAATGTATTTGCTACATTTTGTTGTTGTTTGAAGTATTACCTCTTAACCTTCTTTGTTAATTTTTTTTCAGTTTGTCTTATATAGTCCAGCTTTCCAAGATAAACTCAGTCTTTTTTCAGATGTCACCTTTTTACCAATACTTTTTCATTAAATTATGAAAACTTCTAACTACTGTCAGTGTGGTCATTTTTATTTTGGCATATTGATTTTAGAAAAGTCTTACATATATATGTTCTTTATAGTCATGTGTCACTTAATGACAAGGATATAGTCTGAGGAATGTATTGTTAGACAGTTTCATTGTTGCACACACATCATGTGTTGTTTAATGGCAGAAACATTCTGAGAAATGTATTGTTAGGTTTCATTGTTGTGCACACATTATAGCGTGTACTTAGACAAACTTCAGTGGTATAGCCTACTACACATCTAGGCTTCACAGTGTAATTTTATGGGACCACAGTTGTATATATAGTCACGTTTTTACCAGAAAGAAACATAGCACAGATTGTATTTTAAAACTCATATTCACTAAACAAAGCAGACAGTTGAGGAAAAAAGGGGAATTGAATGTTTAGAAGCACATATTCATGATTCTTGTTGTTATCAAGGACCAAAGAGAACTCTGGGTACTTGGATTCTACCCAGAAATCATGATTTCATCAGGGTGGTAAGATAAAGACTTTAGGGGGACCAGCAGTTGGTGTAATGGCCATGTTGCTGGACTCCCATGTAGTCGACCATGGTTCAAGTCCCAGACCCGGTGGCTTAAACTCAGGCCGGGTACGTTTGTGTGTGTGCCCAAGATCCCAAGAGGAGAAAGGAGGAGAAGGGATTGCGCCGTGGCCATCCTCCTGGGGGGTGATTTCTCGCTTTCTGTCTCTCTCTCTCTCTCTCTCTCTCTTTCTGGCGAGCGCACGTGCCCTATAGCAAAAACCTCTCCAAAAAAAAAAAGATAAAGACCTTAGGATCATCATAAAAATCACCAATATCTAAGGTAACAAGATACAGAAGTCTTCAATCAGCCATCATTTAAATATATATTCTTTTCAATACTTACTCTATTCATAGTCATGTAAATATATTAATGTCATCAGCATTCTGTGGTATCATGGCGGGGGGGGGGGACACTGAAGACATTATAAACATTTTCATTATGTTTGAGAAACAAACTTGCCAAAGGTCATTGGGTAAATCAGTAGTGAAGATAGGTAAAAGGTTAGGTTGTTTTTCTCCAGTCTGTGTGTGTGTGTGTGCATTGTGCGTACATGCACTCTCTTTCGTCTAATGGTTGACTGTTTTGATCTGGTAAATTGTTACATGAAATGCTAGAAATCCAAAACTGTTATAGCCAACAATGGCTGTTGGATTTATTCTAATATTACATTTCCAACGGGAGATAAACTTTTATCTTCGTTTCAATGAATTTTTTAAATTCAGAAACTAAACAGAAGATTCACTGTCCTGTTTATTTTTCTTCTATGACGTCAAAATCCTTACCATGCCTGCTGACCCTTAAGAATTCAGGAAGAGTGCACAATAGGAGTGAAAACTTATTTACCACTGAATAATTTTCATGCAATATTTTAAGGAAAAAAAGTATCTTATAAGAACTTGTATTAGATTTTCATAACCTTAATTGAGCTATTTTCAAGTTTTAAGGAAAGCAGTGATTGATTTTTTTAAAGTAACTTTTAGTTGGGACGAGTAGATGGCATTAGGTCACTGGACTCCCATGTAGTCGACCTCAGTTCGAGTCCCAGACTGGATGGGTGGCTTAAACTCACGCTGGGTGTGTGTGCTTGCGTTCCCAAGGTGCCAAGAGGAAAATGGAGGAGAGGGGATTGTGTTGTTGCCATCCCCACTGAGGGGTGATTTTTCGCTTTCTGTCTCTCTGGCAAGCTCACGTGCCCTATAGCAAAAATTTTTTAAAAAAATTTTAAAAAAACAACTCTTAATTAATAACGACCTACCCTCAAGTAGTATACTTATGCATGGAGCTTTGTAACACTCAATCTGGAGTGTTAAAGGACATTTCTGTAAATTCAGCTGACTTGACTTCATGCATTAGAGTGAATTGCATGGCCTGAAAACATGAGAATAGTTTTCCTTAAAATAATTCAGGGTTAAGGATGATCATACCCCAGACTCATGTCTCTTGCTATGTCTAGTCACTAAGTCCTTTGACATGATGCCCCCTAAATACATTAATCATCTTGATAAACTCTCAAAGCATTCTTTTCTCATTGTAAGGTAAATCTGGGTGTGAGCATTCCAGCTTCAAGGCCTTCGCACCACAAGCTTTAAATTTCTTTTCCCTTCCCCACTACTTCCATTCACCTTTCTCAACTTCATTTATTCTAACTGGATATCAAATTATAAACAAGCTGGAAAAATGGAATTGAGCTGGCGAGACCATAGCATGGTTAATGCATCTGGATCCCACATGGCCAGCTACATTGTTTGAGTCCTGGACCTGGTAGAAAGGCTAGGCACATGTGTGTGCATGCCCAAAATCCCAAAAGGAGGGAGAAGTGGAGGAGAAAGGATTGCAGTGTGACTATTCCCCATGGGGGTTGCTTTCTCACTTTCTCTTTCTCTGCTTCTCTGGAGAGCTCATACACCCTTTAGCAAAATTTAAAAAAAAAAAAAAAAAAAAGATGGGATTGGGCTGTTCAAGCTGTACTCATTACAACATATTCCATGGTTAGAGACCATTTGCAAAACTGCCTTTTGTTCAGCATTGCTTTCTAAAGTATTGCCATGATGTGGCTATGTGGGATCCAGCCACCTTAACCACCATGCAACCTGGCTGACCCACTCTTTATTATTCCATAAACTCCAGGCCTGGGTGACTTCACTGGTAAAAGCTTACAAACTTTTAAGGAACAAATAATACCAGTTCTATACAAACTCTTCCTGAAATAGTGAACAGAAGAAAATATTTCTCACCGCCCTTATTCTCTGAGGGTAGCATTATCATCATACCAAACCAGACAAACACATAAAAGAAAATTATACAGGCAAATATTTTTAACAAAATTTTAGCAAAATGTGTCAAACAGTGTATCAAAAGGATAATACATCATGACCAAGTGAGATTTATCTCAGAAATGCAAGGTTGGTTAATAGTGGAAAATCAGTTGGGGTTGGGGGTGGTGGGCAGAGGGTGGCATGGTGGTTAAGTTGCTGGACTCCCACATGGACAACCATGGTTCAAATTCTGGACCTGCTAGCTTGCTTTTTCACTTTCCCTCTCTCTTTTCTTTTCTTTTCTTTTTTTTTTTTTTTTTTTTTTTGTCAAATTAAAAAAAAAAATGATGATGGTGATTAATACTAAATGAAATCATTCTTTTTAAAAAAATCAATCAGTGATGCAAGCCTGTGGCATGGTAGTTAAG